TGAGAGTCGATGAGTGTGTAGATTAGCATACATTTACATAAATTAGGAAGGCAATTAATATTCTGTTCAATCTGTTCAGAAGTCATCCAACTATCTACAGGGAAACACAGAGAAAAAGAAAAACAGGAAGATACAGGAGACAGACACAAAAAAGAAATCGGGCCATGCTTAATAATGCAAGGTCAAAAAAATATTATTAGATGATGTGATTCGATTACTCATTTTATTCATCAAAGTCAAACTGTGACAAAGACCTGTGAGCAGGAAAAAAAACTGTAATATAATAATTGTTCAGGTGAAGATATGACTGACATTGACTATTGATCTAATATGCTTTAAAGAAGATGCTGGTGATGGCATTGAGAACTTAAAAGAGTTTCTCAGATATTTCACCAAACACATGTCCTTATTCATAAAAGCTCTTTTATAACTTTTCTGCTCTAAATTACATGGAAGTTTTATGTAGAACCATATGCTGTAATTTATAAAAAGGAATAGTCTACACTGGTTTCAGAAACTGTATAAATAAATGTCTAATATAATTTGCAAATCCTTTAAAAACACTTTATGTAATTGGTTAGTCAATTTTAATTTTTCTATAAATGCTAATCAGGAGTTTGCACTTTCACCTCATCGTTTTCATGTCATTCCTGTGCCTGCGTACATTTCGTCGTTGTGCTCCTGTTTCCCCTCATAGTGCAGAGACTGTCTCAGGAGAAAAATTAGACCACATGAAATAAACAAACCAAAATTTACTTATATGTAAAAAAACAAAAAACAAAAACCATCCTACAGAAAAATAAGTTTTTCATTTCCAGGAACAAGGAAAACAGTTACATTTGGATTATTAAACATCAGGTATCTCTTTCCAAAGTCTACGCTAGTAAATTATTTCATAACTTGATTAACACATTAATTCTTTTTGCCTTAAAGATAAGATAACAATATGCAAGTTTAAATTAGTCAGCATCACCAACTGATACTAGCAGTCAGAAATCCTCAAAAGCACAGGGCAAGGAGGAGGAGTGACAGCAATCTTTCACTGTAGTTTATTAATCAACCAAAGATGTGGACAGAGTCATAATTCATCAGAAAGCCCTACACTTAGCCTTGTACACCCTGAGTGGAAAACACATTATCTCCTTGCCCCTTAATCAGAGTTTTATCTAATTTCTCAGACTTAGTGCTTAATTCAGGTACTGTAATGATAGTGGGCGATGTTAACATTCATGTAGATGTTGAAAAGGGCAGCCTCACCACTGCATTTAAGTCATTATTACATTCAGTTGGCTTCTCACAAAATGTAAATGAGCCTACTCACTGTTTTAATCACACTCTTGATCATGTCCTATCATCTCGTATAGAAAATGAAAATGTAATAGTATTACATGAAAACCCTCCGTTATCTGACCGTTTCTGAGTAACATCTCAGTTTACAATAATGGATACAAATGACTCGGTAAAAAATTGTCATTACAGTAGATATCAGTCCAAAATCGCCGTTGCTAAATTTAAGCAAGTGACTTTGCTCATTTTTTCTTCACAGAGATATGGCAACATAGAGTAGCAACTTACCCTTTAGGAGGTTTATTATCTTGTTAATAGTGTGACTCATCTAAAAGCGAAAACAACAAATCAGCAAGGTTTGAGTCTCTGCTAAAATTCATATGAATGCAGAGCTTTAAGACAGATAACATTTAATCTGGGGAGGAAATTGAATTCCATTTTCTTAAAATGCATTTGTCTGGCAAGGGAAAATAGTGGGTTCCAAAGCACTTTGTTTGAGGTTTCTTTTCAGCACCATAGCCGGGCTGACAAAGAGTCACAACTTTGTTGAATCTTGTTTTCCCTGAGCTCTAAGTTGTACTTCATTGCACTTCGTTCATTTTTTTTTTTTCAAATAAAGTTTTAACCATCATAAAAAGCAGATTTAGAAAGTGCTGCTTCTCTGTTATTGATCTCTCTGAGCTTTTAGTAATTTATCAAAATCATCAGTATGTCCATTAGATCCCATCTCTACAAGACTATTCTAAGAAGTCTTACCATTTACTTGCATTTCCTTTCATGGCTAAAAATTGCAATAAAAATTTCAGCAATTTCCAACCTTCCTTTCATTCCAAAAGTTTAGTAAATCAGCTATATGGTCATCTGAATATTGAGTGTTTTATTCATTTAATATATATCTGCCTTACTTATATTTCAGTTGTTCTACTGTAGGCTCAGCACATCACGAGAAGTCTGGCGTGAGTTCTTTTGCATTATGTTTTTCTTTGTTTCTTTGTGCTCTTTTTTGTTCTCTTTTCATTTCCCTCTTTGCCCTCAGCCCCAGCTGCTTGCAGTAGATTCTGTTGGCGATGTTTCCTTGTTAAAAAAGGGTTCTTCCTTCCCACCATCATTAAGCAGATGCTCAGAGGATGATCTTGTTGTAGCAGTTTTCTGTCTAATATTGACTGTTGTTGTGAACTGGCACTCTATAAAAATATTGAATTTAATTGTTAATAAAATATTCCAAAATAGTAGCAAGACTATTATGCCCTTAGAGTGCTATGAATTATCCCAGAACAGCTTCGGTAAAAGGCAGTAAGTGAACCTTACACTGGATGTTTTTTGTCAAACTACTTGACAGTCTGTCCTTCCATTATTCTTCACCGGAGCTTCCGGCTACTTTTTTTTTTTTTTTCAATTAACCTTGTTCCTCCAGCGTCATTAAGTGGATTTTACTGGGTTGGATTCATCATTCACTTAAAAAATAACTGTTAAAGAAGGTTATACAACACTTATATATATATAGATACAGAGTTTATCTATCATGGTCTGGTTTTCCTTTACTATTGTGTTCAAGTTATCTGTCTTTGTGGGCTTTCCGTGTACAACACACTCTTTCAGTGCTGCATGAACATTTCCCCCAAGGGGAATACTGTGTATTAATCAATACAACATGCTTTTGAACACCAACAAGAAGCTACAGAATAGCTATACAGATATACAAATTGGTTCTCTGTGTGTGTGTGTGTGTGTGTGTGTGTGTGTGTGTGTGTCTCTCACACACACACAAACACACACACGCACACAAACACACACACACACAAAACTGATATAATTGAAAGAATACACATGTTACAGCTACAATAGGAAGACAAATAACAGTGCAACATCATTTAGAGGACCATTGGAGAACAT